ATCTACATTTATGTATATAACATTTTAAAGTGATGATAATGCTATTAATTAGATATTCATCTCTTTTATTTTCAGATAAAAAGCCATATGAGACAGATTGTGATGAGAAGGGAGCCATGTTTATGTAACTCATAGTCAGTAGAGTGCAAAGATTCCCACAATTTTTTGATAGGTTGACAGAGAAAGAAAAGATGTTCTGTTGTTTCGGTTTCGTTACATATATAACAAATACATTCCATTTTAAATCGGAACATGACCTCCACCTACCTTCTTCAGTAATCCGGCCATCTTTCTCCGTCCAGACGTCCGATCGCCTTTTCCGGCAACTTCAGATGACGTCAGAGGACGCAAGCGTGCCTGCCCACAGAGATGACGTTTTTATCCTGTTCCTTCTTCTTTGTTTTTTTGTTTTTTTTATTGGCAATTCCCTGTAACATTACAGAATTAATCAAATTTAAAGCATAGATATACAACAGTTGGTGAAAGTATAACTTTAAGAAAGACGAGACACAGAAGGTTTTAAAAATAATTAAATAAATAAAAAATATATATATATATATAAAATAGCTAGGGGTTTACATTGAGTTTACGGTAATTTACAAAATTGTATAATTTTATAATAATTATAATTTTATACCATTTTCATAAATTTAAGTGATTTAAAATACAAACAAACGTTGAAGTTTATTCGATTGTTGTCAATTATTTTTTCAATGAATCGATTAATATTCAGATCAGCCAAAGGTTCCTTAAAGAATATTTTTTATGAAATGAAACCAGGTGAAACAGAAACGTTTCCTCTTCAGGAGTTCTGGATGGAGAATATTAAAAGATAAAAACTTTTTTTTATCCTAAATGCAAAACGTTTATATATTTTTTTACAATCTTGGTATAATTCCTGCTCTAAGTGGGTCGCTCTGTCAGCTAAAGGCACATTTTATTGGCTCTATTCTCCAGTTAATGATTAATCAATTACTAAATTAGTTGACGATAATTTAAATAATTGATTAATATGATTAATTGTTTCAGCCCAAGATGAAATACATGAAATGGGCGGCACAGAGTAACTACAGCCCAGATGTACAACTTGTATAGTGAAGTTAATATTTTATATTGTCGGTGTCAGTTCCTCTTATAGTTCCACTGCACATGTAAATACAAATATTTGTATTTAATCGGTTATAAATTTTGCATAATACAGAAAGAGCATATTAGATTAAAAAAATAAGAGTGGGGTTTACCTCTGCACAATTCTACATCTTCAATAGAAAACAGAGGATAAATCCACATATAACAGACATATTTAGACTATATTTGGTTAAATATTTACCTTCTGTCTTAGTCGCTGTTAAGTTAAAACGCAAACCTTTGGAATAAAGTCCTAATTCCACATTGATCAGAGCCAGTGATGCTTTAAATATTGATAAACAGCATCTAGTGAGTGTAGAGCTGATAAGATTTATATTAATGTAGCAGAAATACTGCTGTTCTCTTTAAACTAAATGTTTCCTGATGCTCACATTAAGCATAAAATAGAGCATGCATGTTTTTGCAAAGGCCATCCTGCATTCATCCACCTGCTGCCAAGACGTCTGAATCTTTTCTGTTTTTCTCTAAATAACAGGTTGATCAGAGAGCGGCCATATCAGCAACACATTTATAAATTTGATTAAAGTTTGATTAAAAGAATAATGAAGTCAACAACCAAACATTAGAGATCATTTACTGATATATTTTTGTATAACAAATGTTAATTTGCTGCCTCTGTTCTTTTACTGAACTGTAGAAAACAGAACAACCGACACCAGAAAACTGACATGTAGCCGTCCTCCTACATGCCTGATGGACCCTGTTCCTACGGTAACTGCAGCATCACACATGATCAATGCCTCACTGACTTCAGGCATGTTTCCTAACTCACCCTCCATCCCACCGACTCAGGTGGAAAACTATGGGCCCATCTCTCTAACACCTTAGAAAGGACAGTCTTTAAGCAGGTCCTCTCACTCCTTGATAGAAACCAGTCAGGGTTTAAAAAGGCCGCTCCACTGAAAAAGCTGATACCTCACTGGTGGATTAGTATCCTGGCTTGGTCTCACCACAGGGGTTCCTCAAGGTTCAGTACTGGGACCTCCATCATACGTCCACTGGCTCAGAGATACTGTATTTTATTAAACTTGAGAAAATCCGTCTTATTTTAAGAGGCTCTTTGGTGAGATTTCTAGGTTTGTGGAGCTCCTTGTTAAAAGTCCTTATTCATTTACTTAATATCTCAGACTGATGAGGTGAAACGTATGTAGCTGTTATTATTGTATCTTTTTTTTCTTGTCTGGAGTTAAGTGTGTCTGATATATCAACAGCAGTGTCTCCGGACACCTGAGGAGTGTTTGGACTGTGGAAAAAGATGAACATAGTTTTAATACTGTGGTTCTTTTTACTTTATCTTCTGATATATCTGTCTCTATCCACTTTCTCATTATGTTCGCCTGACTTGATCCTTTTTTTTTTGTATTTATTTGTTATTAATATTCTGTGTGGTAGTAATTATGTGGGCATACTGGGGTTTGTTCTAACCTAATTATGTTTATATGTTAAAGTTACATTGTTAGGTATATAACTATTGCAGTGTCTTTACATTGTACCACATGTTAAAGCATAAATAAACATTGGGGAAAAGGTTCCATACTGGGACCTCTCCTCTTTGCCTGATCCAGCAGCACGCTGGGCCAGATCATTCCATCACACGGCTTCATATATCGCTGTTATGCTGATGACACCCAGCTCTACCTGTTTCCACCTGATGACCACACACTCTCAGCACGCATCCCAGACTCTAACACATGTCAAAATAGATGGAAGACCATCGCCTCCAACTGAATCTCTAAAACTAAACAGCTTGTTTTCGCAGCCAAACCAATCAGACGGCATGATGTCCAAGTCCAGACTGGATCCCCGTCTCTGACTCGGCAGCAAGAACCTCATCATGCTTGATGACCAGCTGACCTTAAAATCTCAATCTTGTTGCTTCACACTAGTAAAGATTAGAAGGATCCGGCCATAGCTAACCCAACATGCTACCCAGCTCCTGGTGCAGTCTATCTCCCACCTTCACCCCCGTAGACTGCTCTGCCAGCCTGTACGGTCAATCCGTTTCAATTGATCCAGAACGTGGCGGCGTGGCTGGTCTTCAATCAGCCCAAAAAGTCTCACCTCACCCCTGTGTCCATTGAACTTCACTGTTTAGCCCCGGTTGCCCACATCAAGTCCCTGATGCTAGCCTAGAGTGCTAAAGGGTACGATTCCCGGCTACCTGAACCCTCTTCTGTCACAACTCGGTCACTCTGGTCAGCAATGGACCGTCGTCTAGCAGCGCCTACACCACGCTGAAGACAATCCAGACTGTCTCCATGGATTGTTCCAAGATGGTGGAATGGCCCACAGCGTCTTTCTATCATCAGGAAATTCCTAAAGGCCAACCTCTTCAAAGACCATCTATGCCCCACAGATCTATTCTCTACTCTCCGTTCTTCTTTCCATCTAGAGAACTTACTGATGGTAACGCATAAATGCATAAACAAACCAGAAGTTTGGATGTAGAATGAAATAGATCTCTATATAGGTCTATAGAGGCAGACTTTTATCGGTTTACAGACTATTTTAGTGGTTTTTGCAGTGAGCAGCATGTTAAATGTTTACTAATCCAATCCAACCAGCGTTAGATCGTTAGAGGCGTTAGCCTCCGTTGCACCATGCCAACTGCAGCGTTAGCCTCCGTTGCACCATGCCAACTGCAGCGTTAGCCTCCGTTGCACCATGCCAACTGCAGCATTAGCCTCCATTGCAGCACGCCAACTGCAGCGTTAGCCTCCGTTGCACCATGCCAACTGCAGCATTAGCCTCCGTTGCACCATGCCAACTGCAGCATTAGCCTCCATTGCAGCACGCCAACTGCAGCGTTAGCCTCCGTTGCACCATGCCAACTGCAGCATTAGCCTCCGT